TTGGTCTCGCTGAGTCTATTCCTCCTCTGTAAAAGGGGAGCCACCTACCTCACAGGGACACTGTAAAAATCAAATCGACTTGTTGTCTGGGATTATTCTCAATATTTTTTCAACCTGACCCCACCCGTTTTTATCGACAGTCCCCTAATTTCAGACTTCATCATCTGCTCAGGTGGCGTGGCTCAGTGGTTGAGCATCCACCTATGAGCCAGGAGGTCACGGTTCGATTCCCTGTCGGGGCACATGCCCGGGTTGCAGGCTGGATCCCCAGTGGTGGGTGTGCAGGAGGCAGCCGATCGATGATTCTCTCTCATCATTGATGTTTCTATTTCTCTCTCCCTCTCCCTTCCTCTCTGAAATCAATAATAATTATATATATATATTTTAAAAAGACCTAGTAATCTGATTTCTTCAGCCGTCACATCATTGTCAAAGTGATTTCCTTCCACCCTCAGCAGATCTTGTTCCGTTTCTATTTTTAAACCTGGGAAGGCTCCCTACTGACTGCAGAATAAAGCCCAAAGGCTTCTGCTGACTGTCAACACCTTCCAGTCTGGGCCCTGCCTCTCTGGCTGACTCATTCTCACACACACCCCTGGGGCCAAGCGCCAGCTCTAGGCTCTGGGTCTCCAGCAGCGGACAAGGCAGACACACTCCCTCCCCTCGTGTTGCTTACATTCGCCTCCTGGGGGAGGGGGACCAGATAACATGGAAACAAATAAGACTGTTTTGTGCCCCATCACAGGATCTGTTCGGGGTGCCTGAGCCAGTGCACAGGGTCCCGCAGCTCCTCGCCTTTGCAGATGCTGTTCCCTCTGCTAGAACCACACCCTTCCCGTTCTCCCTCTGCTGCACTTCTTCTTCATCCTTCAAGCTTCAGTTCCATTATGCCCCACAGAGGTTTTCCTGCCAACCTCAGGCAGCGGTGGCCGCGTTGGGCACCATATACATACCTATCACTTTACCACAAGGTACTTGAATCCTCCACCCCGGTGCCTGGCTCCCCAGTTACACTGTGAGTACCTGGGTCTGATTTGTCTCCATGTCCCAAGCCCTAGCACTTGGCCTGGTCTTGGGGGTCCCAGTGAGCAATGCCTGATTCTGTGAATAGATGGAATCCAACTGCAGCCACCCATGAAGTGTTGTTATCCAGCTGCCCGAGTTCCTGTGGCTGTCAGGAGGCCGAGGCACTCAGACCTCCTGCCTTCGTTCCTGAACTTTTTGCTTCTACACACAGGCTTGCAATTTCCCCTGAAAGCACATTGCCATATGCCTGCTTGTGCCCATGTTCTTCATCCAGTTGTACCTCATCCCCGCTGCTGCCCTGGGGCTTGCCTACACCAGGAGGCAGCCATGGAAATGGCCAGGGTTCCTGGCCCTCAGTCCCAAATCCCATCTTCAACCACACAGAGGTGCCCCTTGATGCCACCCTGACCCCCTTAGAGGGGGCTTCAAGCGCAGAAAACTGGAGTCTAGCTGTCCCAATGTCACCGTCATTGATTCTAAGGCAGGGTCAGATTGCCTTCTTTTATAAAATAGATATATTTTTTATTGATTTCAGAGAGGAAGCGAGAGGGAGAAAGATAGAATCATCAATGATGAGAGAGAATCATTGTTCGGCTGCCTCCTGCACGCCCCACACTGGGGAGGACTGAGTCTACCCAGGCCTGTGCCCTGACCTGGAATTGAACCGTGACCTCCTGGTGCATAGGTCGACGCTCAACCACTGAGCCACGCCGGCCGGGGCCAGATTGCCTTCTCCAGGCTGTCTTCTCGCCGGTCCCTATCTTCTTTGCAGGATCCCGAGGCCCAAGTGGAGGCCAGCCCCAGAAAGGCCTCAGGTAACACATACTCCCTCCTCCTCCTCAGCTCCTGCCAACGCCGAGATGTGAGCCTTGGCAGGGCCCCTGGACACTTGTATGGGCTGCAGTGGCCGGGCGCACGGCTGCCGGTATTCTGTTCCTCCCGTGGGCTCGTGCATTATGCAGGAGGGCGGGCAGCGCCAAGCCAATAGCAGGAGTGACGCACGCTCCCCGCTTTGCCAGGGCTCCACTCCTTCCCACACCACACCATTTGTTGGCGGCCGGAAGAAACTGGCTTCGCAATAGTTGGCTAACCATCCGTGCTCCCTCTACCTACAGTTCAAAGCTGGAGATGTCAGCTGTCATCACGGGTGGTTTGGCACTGCCCCTGGGAAAGCGAGAAAGGGGTATGTCCTCCCAATGGTGGGGTGGGTGGGAGCCCCGAGACGCAGAGGAAGCGGAGATGGAGGAAGCCTGGCAGGCCTGGGCTCGGCTGTGCAAAGGGAACCTGGCAGCTCTGATTGGATCTCACGCCTCCAGCCCCTCTGTGGGCATCAGACAACATTGCCTCCCAGAGTCTGAGACGAGGTTCAGCAGCCTCCTCATTATGAGAACGGAGTCCTGTGCTTGGGAAATGGCCCCGGGGGATGAGAAGCTGAGCTGGGCTGAGCTGAGCAGGCATCAGCACAGGCCTCTCTGCAGACTTTGTTTTATTTAATCCTGACAGTACACCCGGGTGGCGCATGCCTTTTTTTTTTCTTTCTTTTTTTTTTTTCATTTTCTAGCATCTAGATGGAAAGAATTCTGACGCAGTTGAGAAGGGATTTTAGAAGTGGGAGGATCTAGATTTCAATTCTGTGCATCTGTGTGACCTTGGGCAAGTCCACTGAGGTCACTAAGCCTCCGTCTTCCTCATCAGGGAGCACATGGAGACTGTCAGGGCTTATTGTGACCATGAAAGGAAATGCAGGCAGAGTGTCTGGCATAGAACAGGGGCTCATTTAAAAATATAACAGCCCTAACCAGTTTGGCTCAGTGGATAGAGCGTGGGTCTGCGGACTGAAGGGTCCCAGGTTCAATTCCGGTCAAGGGCATGTACCTTGGTTGCAGGCACATCCCCAGTAGGGGGTGTGCAGGAGGCAGCTGATCTATGTATCTCTCATTGATGTTTCTAACTCTTTATCCCTCTCCCTTCCTCTCTATAATAAAAAAATCAAAAAATATTAAAAAATATATAACAATGACAACTCTTAAAAAATATATTCTTACTGATTTCAGAGGGGAAGGGAGGGGGAGAGAGAGATAGAAACATCAATGGTGAGAGAATCATTGATCGGCTGCCTCCTGCACGCTCCCCACTGGGATCAAGCCCGAAACCGGGGCATGTGCCCTGACCGTGGGTCGAACTGTGACCTCCTGGTTCATAGGTCGACGCTCAACCACTGAGCCACGCTGGCCCAGCACAATGACAACCCTTAATGTCACACTCAACCATCCCAGCAGCCCTTCGGAGAGGCATTGCTCTTGTCCCATTTTGTGGATGAGAAGCCCAAGGCACAGAGGCGTTAAATCAGGTGCACAGTTCTGGCTGGAGAGTGGCAGCCGTAGTATCTGAGCCCGGGCAGTGGGACCGTGTGTGCAACGGCGGCTCAGAGAGGTCTGACACCTGACCAAGGCCACACAATCAACGAGACAAAAAAAGGGCCTGGACACTTAGCTTTCTGACTCCAACTCACACGCCCCTCAGCAGTTGTCCTTGTGCCCCTCAGCTTGTCCTGTTGCACAGCTAGAGGGTGGGACTGGACTGGTTTGGAGCGGCACCTACCCTGGGACCGGTCCCATTAAAGCATAAATAATACATGTGCCGGCGCGCGGCCCAGGACGCTCCCCAGAGCGCCGCCGGGGGAACCGGACCCTTCCCTGGGTATCAGGTGGGAAACAGGCCACTTGGGGCTGCTTGTTGGTTACTTATTCACAGCCTTCCATGTCACACCTCACACCTCGGTGGACTGGGCCGGCTGCGCCCAGCTACAGAGAGGATGGACGAGGCCGCCTGTGACCGAGGAGCCTGAAGCAGCAGGAAACGGTAAACCTGGGCCCAGGGTGGATTGTGTGACAGGTCTGAGGGGACAGCGTGGGGGTCAGAGACCCGCCCGGGGAGCGGGGCTGTGCGGGAAGGTGGGCCTGC